ACGCGGAGCGTCGCGAGGAAGGACCGGCTCGGCGCGCGCGCGTCGACGCGCGCGAAGCGCAGCTCGAGGCCGCCGTCGCCGGACGCCTCGAAGTCGAGGCGAAGCGGGCGAAGGCGGCGAGCTCGCGCCGCAGCGCCTCCGCGGCCGCCGGGTCCGCCGGGCCGCGCGGCGCGCCGGCACCGGCCGCCGCGCCGCGGAGCGCCGCGACCTCGCCCTTGACCTCGTCGACGCGCGCGCGGAGCGCCTCCAGCTCCGCGTCGCGCGCCGCGAGGAGCGACGTCGCCTCGAGCCGGCCCTCGAGGACGCCGACCTCCTCGCGGCACCGCGCCGCCTCCGCCGACGCGTCGCCGACGGCGCGGCGCAGGCGCGACGCCTCGACCTTGCCAAAGTCCTCGGCGCCCTCGCGCGCCTCGCCGATGGCCACGTTGAGCGCGGAGAGCTCGCTCATCGGTGCAGTCGTTTGCCCTTAGCAAGCGCCCATGCGATTAGGCGCCACGCGCGGTTCGAACTGAAGGCCGCGATGCCTCCAAGACGCCTCCCGCCGCGCCCGACGCCCCCCGCGGACGCGTCATACAGCGAGGGTTACGCCGCGGCGCGCGCCTCGACGGCCGCGCGGGCGTCGGGCCGCGGCCTCAGGGCGCGTCCGGCGCGCCCGGCGCCGCGGCGGCCTGCGCGCACATGGCCGCGAAGGCCGGGTCGGCGAACATGGCGAGGAGCGCGTCGTCGCCCGGGCCGGCCGCCGGCGCGTCCGGCGGCGGCGGCGGGGGCGGCGGCGCGAGGCCGCCGTTGAGGCGCTGGCACGTCTGCATGAGCATCATGAGCTCCATGGGCCCCATGGCCGCGGCGACCTCCGGCGCCGCGGGGAAGGCCGGCGGCGCCGGCGGCGCCGGCGCGTTTCCGGCGCGGAGGCCGACGATGGTCTCGTTCTGCGCCTGGAGCACCGCGAGGAGCTGCGCGCGCTCCGCGTCGGCGGCGCGGAGCCGGTCGTTCTCCGCGCGGAGGCGCTTCGTCTCGCGCTCCAGGTCCAGGACCTTGCGCATCCACGTCGACACCGTCGCGCTGGCCTCGGGCGCCGCGCGCTTGCTCGCCGCGTCGAGCTCCGCGTTCGCGCGGGCCCAGACGTCCTTGGCGACGAGGGATTCGACGCCCGTCCGCGGCCTACTGTCCTCCTCGGGCCGCGCGCCCTTGCGGTGGACGAGGCGCAGCTCCTCGGGCTTGCCCTCGCGGAAGTGGGCGTGGGCGAAGCGCACGACCTTGGACTCGCGCGACGAGCCGGGCACCTTGTGGAACTGGTACATGTTCAGGAGCCGCGTGAAGGAGGAGAAGTTGCGGTGGCGGAAGTAGGCCGGGCAGACCTCGGCGGCGAAGCGCGCCGGGTCCGCGATGACCATCTTCGACCCGTCCTCGGACCAGCGCACGATGGACTTGTCGGCGTCGCTCATGAGGGCGAAGAGCGTCTGGACGAAGACGGGCGCCTCGTCGCCGCGGTCGCAGCGCTTGCGCTTCCCGAGGTCGCTCAGGCTGCAGGCCGCGGAGGACGAAGCGGTCTCCATGAGTTCGCGGGCGGCGGCGGCGGCGGCGGACGGGCGGCGGGCGGCGCGGTGTTCCGGGCAGCCTCAAAAGGGGAGTCAGCTTCGGTACCCGGGCGGCCCGGATCGCATCAGGGCCTATATCTTGCGCGTCATAACTGCACGGTTTGCCGTGCCGTGACGTCGCGCCGCCGGGGGTCCACCGTGACGGCCGCCCCCGGACCTCCTCGGGCGCGCGCACCCCCACAAAAACCCGACGATTACCGCGGCGCGTGGTGCGCGTACTCGAGCGCGAAGGTCGCCTCGCCGGCCGTCGCGGACCTGGGCAGCACAAGGGTGATTCAACGTCGCTTCAACGTGAGTGTTCCGCGCGCGCGCGTTCCGGAAAAAGCGTCCACGCTTCGAGACCGTTCCGAGAGATGATCGCTCGTCCAAAAAATCAGCCGAAACGAGTGGAAAATGGCCGAGATATGAGCCTTTGAAGTTGGGAATTTCGCTCTCTTGTGCTGCCCCGTCGCGGACCGCAGCGCGGTCGCGTAGCCGAGGAGCTCGGAGAGGGGCGCGCGCGCGACGACGGTCGCGCGGCCGCCGGCCGTGGCCACGTCGACGACGCGCGCCCGCCGCCCCGCGGCGAGGTCGTCGAGCACGGCGCCGAGCCGCGCCTCGGGGACGGCGACGTCGACGCGCATGACGGGCTCGAGCACCGCGGGCGCCGCGTGGTCGAGCGCGTCCCTCAACGCCGCGGCGCACGCGGCCCGCACGGCGCCGAGCGACGAGTCGCCGTCGAGGGCCGCGCCCTCGACCGTGATGTCGCACGACGCGAGCGCGTGGCCGCCCAGGGTCCCGCGCGTCGCCGCGGCCGCGAGGCCATCGAGCGCCGCGGCGCCGTGGAGCTTCGACGCGCCGTCGAGCGCGTCCCGCGCGGCCGGCGCGAGGGATATTCGCGGCGGGCCGCCGCCGTAGACGGCCTCGCCGTCGACGTCGGCCGCGCGCGGCGCGAGCGACAGCTCGAGCGCGCAGAAGAGGCGGCTCTCGCCGAGCGTCCGGTCGTAGACGAACGGCGGCCGCCGCGTCTCCGCCGTCGGCGCCTCGCGCAGGGCGACGGCCGGCGGGCCGAAGGTCACGTCGACGCCGAAGTCGGACCGGAGCCGCTCGAGCGCGACCTCGAGGTGGAGCTCGCCGAGGCCCCGGAGCACGACCTGCCCCGTGTCCCCGTCGACGTCGACGACCAGGCTCGGGTCGTCGCGCGCGAGGATCGCCGCGGCGGCCTCGAGGGCCTTGGCCGCCGACGGCGACCCGGGCTCGGCCGCGACGGCGAAGACCGGCGGCGGCGCGTCGACGGCCTCGAGCCGGAGGCCCGCGCCGCGGCGCGCGGCGTCGAAGCCGGGGGAGCCCTTGGGCCCGACGAGCGTGTCGCCGGCCCGGGCGGACCGCAGGCCCGTGAGCACGACGATGTCGCCCGCGTCCCAGGACTCCGCGGGCTCGAGGCCGCCGCCGAGGGGCGTGAGGAACTGGCCGGGACGCTCGACGGCGCCGGTCGACGACGCGAGCACCTCCTTGGGCCGCGCGGACCCGCGGTAGGCGCGCGCGTAGGCGAGGGGCCCGCGCCGCGCGTCGTGGGCGACCTTGAAGACGAAGCCCGCGAAGCCGTCGCCGGCCGCGGCGCCGTCGCCCGCGAGCGCCTCCCGCGGCGACGGCAGGTAGGCGACCTGGGCAGCAAAAGGGTGATTCAACGTCGCTTCAACGTGAGTGTTCCGCGCACGCGCGTTCCGGAAAAAAGCATCCACGCTTCGATACCGTTCCGAGAGATGATCGCTCGTCCAAAAATCAGCCGAAACGAGTGGAAAACGGCCGAGATATGAGCCTTTGAAGTTGGGAATTTCGCTCTCTTGTGCTGCCCTGTAGTCGACGACCGCGTCGAGGACCTCGGCGACGCCGACGCCCCGGAGCGCCGCGGCGCAGACCGCGGGCACGGCGCGCCCGGCGAGCGTCGCCCGCCGCAGGCCCGCGGCGACGGCCGCGTCGTCCGGCGCCTCGTCGGCCAAATACGCGTCGGCGACGGCGTCGTCGACGTCCGCGACGGCCGCGGCGTCGAGCGCGCTTTCGGGGCCGGCGAAGGCCCCCGCCGCATCGAAGACCGGCCGCTGCACGGGCACGACGGCGCAGCCCTCCGGCAGGCACCGCGCCGCGACGGACGCGAGCGCCTTTCCGAAGTCCGCGCCCGGCCGGTCCATCTTGTTGACGACGGCGACGCAGGGCAGCCCGAAGGTCTCGAGGGCCGCGCGCGCGACGGCCTCCGTGCGCGCCTGGGCGCCGGCGACGGCGTCGACGACGAGCACGACGCCGTCCATGACGCGGAGCGCGCGGTCGACGTCGTGCCCAAAGTCGACGTGGCCGGGCGTGTCCACGAGGACGACGCGCGTGCCGCGCCAGTCGAGGTGCGCCGCGGCGCTCGAGATCGTGATGCCCCGCGCGCGCTCCTGGGCCAGGAAGTCCGTCGCCGTCGACCCGCTGTCCACGCGGCCGGAGCGCGTGATGGCGCCGGACAGCGCCAGCATCTCCTCGCTCAGCGTCGTCTTCCCGGCGTCGACGTGCGCGACGACGCCGATGACGCGCGTCCGGTCGCAGGGCACCGTCGCCAGGGCCCGCGCGAAGCGGCGCGCCGCGGCCAGCATGGCACGAGAAGCTCTCTCTAGGCTCGCCACATAAGCTGCTTGGCGCGGCAATTGAAGGCGTAATTGAAGTCAAGTTGGCGTTCTGGTTCCAATTCCTAAGTCTAGAAGCTCTGACTTAACAAACCTCGATTTCGCTGCCTGGGGCGGTCCAGACGGCTTTCTTCGGGTCCTTGGCCACCGTGGCGTAAATGCCCTCCGGTGGTCCTTTCATCGTCTGCGTGTCGTATGGACTTGCGCCCACAAATTTGGAATCAACATATTTCACGAGGGAAGTGTAATCGTAGATATCTTCCATTGCAACCGTGTATTTGCCGTCGTCGAGTACCTCCGTGATCGTCCCATAATGAGGCACCTTGTCTTCTTCTTTCTTGATATCATACTCGGTCCAAGTGGTGCAGAGTCTCCCGTTGACCCCAACCCTGAGCTTTCGTTGGACAACTAGCGCAGCGACAACCGCGCTGGGAGTAGCTTTGCTTTCGATGACTTTCTTCAGGAATTGCGGTAGGAGATTGGAGAGCTCGGCGGCGGCCAGCCTTTCGGGAATCCTTTCGTGGCGAAAACATGCATACACTGCGTTCTTGATTTCTCCGTCGCGTTCAGCGATCATCGTCGTCGCCATACCCAGCTCACCAGTCGCGGCCGCGAGTCGTTCCTTGGTCTTCTCTAGCTCGGCGGCTTTCTGAGCCTTAGTCTTCTCCACTGCCGCGAGCCATTCGTTTCGCTCTTCTCGTAGATCGCGGGCCTGCTGAACTTTGGAATGCCTCAGCCTCTCGAGGTCTTGTTTCATGCACTCCAATTCGATGGCCTGCAGGCGCGTCCGGGAGAGGAGCTTGCCGACGACGGTCGTCGTGAGCACGAGGTAGCGGCGCGCGGACGACGCGATCGTGGTGCTCGCCGCGACGGACTGCAGGTGGTAGAGGACGGCGCACGCCCGGCGCACGCGCGCCCGCGACTGCAGCGAGACGACGGAACGGAGGAGCGCGCGGCGCTGGGCCACCTTGAGCGACGCGCGAGACGCCGCCTGGATCTTGACGGCGGCTCGGAGGACGCGCGCAGCGCGGCGCCGCGCGACGAAGCCGCGGCCGACCCGCTGCAGCAGCCGCGCCGAGGGGTCGCGCAGGAGGAGGCGCATGCCGCGTACATTCGCGTAGAGCTGCTTCTTATCCTCGACGAGCAGGCGGTTCTGCTCCAGCAACGTGCGGACGCAGGAGTGCGACGACGCGAGCGAGTCGAGGTCGGTCTCGTCCGTCGCCTCGCTGTTGTCGTCGGCGGCCACGAGCACGAACTCATCGGCGGCGCGCTGCTTCTTCTGCTTGCGCGCCGCCCAGCGCGCGCGGCGGCGCTTCTGCTTCTTCGTGAGCTCGGGCGCCGCGATCGCGTGGGAGCCGGCGTTCACGAGGGCGCGCACGAGCTCGAAGGACTCCGAGGCCTCGGCGGCCTCCATGGCTTTGATGCCCGTCGGACAATCGGAGGCGACCGCCGTGCCGTCGTCCTCGCCGGACGCCGCGAGGCACTGCGACTCGCGCACGGCGCCGCGGACCTTGACGGGCACCTGGCCGATCATCGCGACCGCGCGCCCCCGCGGCAGAACTTCGTCCGAAGGCACGTTGCCCGTGAAGAAGGGTTCCGTCGACACGATGAAGAGCACGCCGCGGCCCGTGATCTCGCGCGAGATCTTGCGGTCCACGCATTCGACGAGGTCGCCCGGGCCGACGGGCTCCGCCGGGTCCCGCAGCTCGAGCCACTCGGCCAGGTCCGCGCGCGAGGACGTCCGCTCCACGAGGGCGATGCGCGTCTCGTGGTCGTCGAGGCGCGCGGCGTGGTTGGTGAGCGTCGCGCCGACGTCGGACGCCGGGCGGCTGGACGCCGCCGCGCTGCGCTTCATGATGCAATCGGCGCACGTCTTGCCTTGTTTGAGAGTCGTGGGATGGATGAACGCCTCCGATCCCTTCGTGGACCCGCAGCTCTTGCAGAGCTGCGCCATCGTAAGGCTGCCCCGGATCCTGGTTGATCCTGGCCCAGCTTCGCGGCCGGAAAGTTCCGAAAGGCACCGCCAGCTTCAACAACCAAAAGTTCTTACAGCTCCCCGAGGGCCGCGAGGCCCGGCGCGCCGCCGTCGAGGTCGAGGCGCACGGGGAGGCCGAAGCGCGCGATGTCGACGAACTCCATGCGCCGGCTCGCGTCGAAGCGCGCGCCCGTCTCCGGGTCGTCGCGCGGGTGGAGGACGAGCTTGAGGACGAGGGAGTAGCGCGGCGGCGCCGTGCCGTTGGTCCGGCCGAGGGCGTGGGCGACGTCCTGGTCCATGAGGAGGAGGCGGCCCGGCCGCGGCGCCACGTCCGCGTGGCGCGCGCGCCGCTTGCCCCGCTTCCGCCGCGCGCGGAGCCGCGTCGCGCCGCCCCAGGCGTCGTCCCAGAACTCGTTGAGGTAGATCAGGGCGCTCAGGAAGCGGGGCGTCCCCGGGCTCCGGTTCGCGTAGTGGCCGTACGCGTCGGTCCACGCGGACGGCGGCAGCTTCGCGGGGTCCGCGTCGTCGTGGAAGCCGTGGCGGTCGCCGGGCAGCACGGCGTTGGCGACGCAGGGCGACACGCCGAAGGCGGCGTCCGGCGGCGTCAGCTGGTAGCTCACGCGCGCGAGGACGCCGCCGGCCGGGTTCGCGGCCGCGACGAGCGCGAGCAGGCGCCGCTGGAGCTCCGCGATGGGCGGCGGCGTCGGCGCCTCGGGCGGCGTCGCGCAGAGCTCCAGGAGCCGCTCGGGCCGCAGGCCGTGCTGGCCGTGCTGGTCGGACGCGCGGTCCCGGACGGCGCCGGGCTCCCAGAAGTCCGGGTCCGGAGAGGCGTAGGGGTCGACCCCGGGCCCGTGGAGCAGCCCCAGCAGCGCGCGCCGGAGTTCGTCGTCCGCGAAGCCGTCGAGCACGAGCACCTCGGCGCCGTCGGCCGTGGACCCGAGGAGCGCCGGCGCGCCGTAGTCCGCCGGCGCGTCGCCGCCCGCGGCGACGTCGACGGGCGCGCGGAGGCCGAAGTGGTCGACGAAGTAGTCGCGCGCGCCGTCGAAGAGCGCCGCGACCTCCGCGAGGGCCTCGGGCGCCGCGGCGGCGCCCGCGTCCGCGAGGGCCTCGGCGTCGACGGGGCTCGCCCACGACGTAAAGATGAGCGGCCGCAGCGACTTCTTGTTCCGGGTCCACTCGGCCGTGAGCCGCGCGAGCAGCTCCGCGCCGTCGACGCCGAGGCGGTCGAGGTCGCCCTGCTCGAAGAGCGCGAGCCGGTAGCGGCCCCAGGCGCCGGCGACGGCGGCCCAGCGCGACCCGGTCTCCTCCTCCACGAGGCGCTGGATGGCGAGCACCTCGTCGTTGTCCAGGTTGACGTAGATGACCTTGGGCGTCGGCTTCGCCGCGGCGGACCAGGCCGCGACGAGCAGCAGCGACGCAAGGCGCATGACGCTGCTTACAGGCTAGCCAAGACGTGCACCATAACGAGCTGCTGCCACAACTTTGGCCAAGCTTTCGGCGAGCAAAAAGCCTTGCCAGCACAGCCAAGGCCTCGACCGCGCCGCGCACCATGCCGACGTGGGGCGGCCTGCAGGCCATGCGCCTGGGCCTCTACGTGTGCCTGCCCGTGCTCGCCACCGTCGTCTACAGCGACCCCGTCGTCATGCGCCAGATCATCACCAAGCTCAACTACATCATCTACCCCGCCGAGGGCCCGCGGCCGCCCGTCGGCGAGGAGATCGAGAAGTTCCGCCGCGGCGCGCCGAAGAAGTGAGCGGCGACGCACATGCGCGGCGCGGCGCTCGCGGGCCTCGCGGTCCTCGCCGGCGGCGGCGCGCAGCCGCTCGACGGCGGGTGCGCGGCGGCGATCGACGGCGCGGCCGCGGCCGACGCGCGCGCGGCCGCGGTCGCGTACTACGTCGCCGCGGGCGCGACGGAGGACGCGGCCCGCGCCTGCGCGCGCGCCTGGGCCGCGGCCGCGACCGACGCCGCGGTACGAGAGGGCATCGCGGCCGCCGCGGCGCGCGGCGCGGACGCCGCGCCGCTCCCGGCGCCGCACCCACCGGGCGCCGGCGGCTTCTACGACGACCCGGCCTGCCGCGGCGCGACCATGGCGCCGCGCGGCGGCGCGTGCGCGCTCGGCGCCGGCGGCCGGCCCGCGGACGTGCTGCCCGCGCCCGGGCAGGAAACAAAAATATTCAACACGACTTCCAACGTGTATTTTTTCAACACGACGGGGCGTTCCACTGGTTGTTTCCGGCACAGGCCCGCGCTGCTGGAGCCGCGCGTGCGCGTCGCGCTCGGCCCGCTCGGCGCCGCGACGCTCGCGCAGGACGGGTTCCTGCGGCCCTACGACGTCGCGACGACGCTCTGGCCCGCGGGCGCCGTTCTCGCCGACGCCGTCGCGGCCGACTGCGGTTCCTTCGCGGGCACGCGCGTGCTCGAGCTCGGCGCGGGCGTCGGCGCGCCGTCGGTCGCGCTCGCGCGCTGCGGCGCGCGCGTCGTCGCGACGGACGTCGCCTGGAGGTCGCTGGGCCTCGTCGCGGCCAACGCCGCGGGCAACGGCGTCGCGGCGTCCCTCGGCGGCGGCGCGGCCGACGGCGCGGTGGCGGTCGCGATCCTGGACTGGACCGACGACGCCGCGCTCGACGCCTTCGCGGCCGATTGGGGCCCCTTCGACGCCGTCGTCGGCGCGTCGCTCGTCTTCGAGACGTGGCCCCCGTGCCGCCTCTTCGCGGTCGTCGAAAAGTTCGCGGATTCGGCGTTTCTCGCGCACGCCGCGGCGATCGACCTCGGCGCCTGCGACGAGGCCGCGGGCTGGGCGCTGGCGTCGGCGGCCCCCGCCGCGCACCTCGGCCTCGACGAGTTCGCCACCTACGCGTTCGAACGCCGCGGACGCGCGCCGTCGTCCTTCCCGCCCACGGAGCATCCGGCCGCGGCCGAACTGTAAAACGTCCGGTTACACGTCCGCCCGGAACCCCTCCCCCGGCGCGACGCCCGCGGGGATCTGGACGGCGACGACGCGCTTGTCCGCGAGCTGGAAGTGGCGGACCTCGCCCGGGACCGCGTCCGCCGGGCAGGAGAGGCTCACGCGCATGCGGGCCGGGAGCGCCGCGGCGTCGCTCGGCGCCTCGGGCCCGAGGGCGCCGGCGTCGCCCGCGAGGGCCGCGTCGTCGGAGACGGGCACCGTCGGCACCGCGCCGCCGCCGCCCGCCGCGAGCGACGCCCAGGCGGCGCGCGCGCCCGCGGGCCAGGTCGCGAGCCCGCGGGGCGCGAAGCCCGCCGGCGGCTCGAGGACGAGGCCGCCGGGCGACCGCGCCACGACGCCGACCGCCGCGACGACGTCGCCGGCGGCGTAGGACCGCTCCTCGGCCGCGAGCGGCCGCGGAGGGCGCCCGAAGAGGCCCGCGGCGAAGGACAAATCCTCGCCGCCGACGGCCGCGGCGACGTCCGCGGGCGGCGGGGCCGCGGTCGCGCGCGGCGGACCCAAAGGCGAGAGCGTCGCCGCGAGGAGCCGGACCCGGCCGCCGTCGGCGTCCGTCAGGTCAAAGTCGGAGCCGCCGGCGTCGGCGTGGACGACCGCGCCGCCCGCGTCGCGCACGACGAGCTCGTAGTAGGCGCAGGCGCCGCCCGCGAGCGGCGCGGTCGCGGCCGCGCGCGCGGGCGCGACGCGCCCGTAGACGTGGCGGACCTCGCCGACGGCGGCGCCGCAGGCCGACGGCGTGCATGGCTCGAGGCACGCGCGGTCCGCCTCCGGGCTCGCCGGCCGCGCGAGGCGGAGCCAGTCGCCGTGCGGGTCGCGCGGCGGCGGCGCGGCGTCGAGCCCGGAGGCGCGCGCCCGCTCCTCGGAGGAGCAGCAGAAGAAGAGCTCGGCGTAGGCCTGGGCGCCGTCGCAGGCGCCGAGGCCGAACGGCGCCGCGGCGTCGACCTCCATGGAGAGGCGCCCGGGGGCTACCGCGAACGAATCCAGCCCCCCATCGGGCTGCCTTTCCGCGGGCAAAGTGTACGGAAACGTGCCGGAGAAGGTTAACCTAAGACCCACGCCCTACGCGAGCCGCGCCGCCAGCCGCGCGACCTCGCGCGCCAGCGCCGCGTTCGCCGCCCGGAGGCGCGCGATCTCCGCGTCCTTGGGGTCGACGTTCTTCCGGGGCTTCGTCGTCACGCTCCGGAGGCGCGACGCGAAGCGGAGCGCCGCCGTCGCGTTCGCGGCCTCGCCGGCGCCGGGGTGGACGCAGCAGAGCACGGCCGTGTAGGAGCTGCCGCCGAGCGAGTCCTGGAGGAGCCGCGTGAGGTTCGAGTCGCGGTAGGGCACGTGCGCGCGGCGCTTCTCGAGGGCCGCGACGACGTTGCCGAGCGCGGAGAGCGACGCGTTGATCCGCGCGGCCTCGCGCGCGCCCGCGCCGCTCGCCCGGGACTCGTCGAGGCGCTCGGACCCGGCGAGGTCGACGACGTGGAGCTTCGACGCGACCGTCGCGCCGCCGACGTCGCGCGACAGTTCGAGCGTGTAGACGGCGTGCGACCGGCTGCTCGCGCCGTTCTTCGCCGTGGACCGCGCGGCGCGGCGCCGCGCGCCGGCCCGGAAGAGCCGCAGCGCGTCGTCCGCGGTCGCGACCGCCCGGCGCTCGACGCCCTCGAGGAAGACGCCGCGCGCCGGGTCCTCGCGGATCGCGGGCCGCCGCGGCGCCGCGGCCTTGCGCGGCGCCGGCGCCGGCGAGTTGCCCCGCGCGGGGCTCAGCGCCGCGGCCCGGTTCTCGTCGTCCGGCGCCGCGAGCAGGTCGCGGATGCCGTCGAGGTAGAGCTCGACGCACGTCGCCGCGACCGTGGCCGGCGCGCCGCCGAGGCCGCCGAAGAGCGCGGCGCAGGCCCGCGCGAGGAGGCCGTCGCGGCCCGCGCAGACGGAGTGCGTCTTGCCGCTGCCCGTCGCGCCGTAGGCCATGACGCAGCCGTGGAAGCCCTCGAGCACGCGCGCGACGACGCCCGCGCCGACGGCGGCGAAGGCCGCGGCCTGGTCGCCGCCGGGGCCGAGCGTCGCGTCGAAGGGACCGAACGCGCGGCCCGAGACGGTCACGTCGTCGCCGTCGACCGCGGTGGCCGCGTCGCCGTCGCAGGGCCGCAGGCGCACGGCGACGACCATGCCCGCCTCCCGCGCCTCCTCCGCCTCCGGCGGCGGCGCCGCCGTCTCCTCGATCTCGAGGGTCACGTCCGTCGGCGCCGCGGCCAACGATCGCGGCTCCTCGAAGAGCTCGTCGAGGCATTTCGCGTCGGCGACGACGTCGCGCGCGCGGCCGCACGTGAGCCAGCCCATTGCTGCGGACGCGGCGCAGCGCTCGACGGTGCGGAACGGCGCGGACGCGGGCAGCGCTCGACGGCGCGAACGGCGCGAGAGGCGGCACGCGCTCGATCGCAACGTGCGTCGCGGCGCCGCGCCGCCCGTGTCCGTACGCACCCGCGCACGGCGCACGCGGTCGGCGAGTGTGCTAACGAGCGCGCGCCCGTGCGACCGCCGCGCGCGCGCTAGTTGCCCTCCTTGCCGCGCATGGCGGCGCGGGCGCGGTCGAAGACCGAGAGCTTCTTCTTGGGCGCGGCGGCCTCGGGCTCCGCCGGGGCCGGCGGCGGCGCGAGGTCGACGGCGCCGCGCGGCGTCGGCATCGCGACGTCGACCGTGGGCTTCTCGTACTCGTCGAGGGTCTTCGTCGCGTCCTCGGGCGCCGGCGCCGCGTCCGGCGCGGGCGCCGCCGCGGGCGTCTCGGCCTCCGGGCCCGCGGCCTCCGGCGGCGGCTTCGCGAACGCCGCGGCGGGCGCCTTGCCCAGGAGCTGCGTCGGGAGCATGAGCGCGGGCCCGCCGGCGGGCCGCGGCTTGCGCGGCACGCGCTTCGCCGCCGCGCCCGGCATGGGCACGTACTTGAAGCCCGCCGCGGCGCCCGGCGCCGCCGCGAGCGCGGCCGGCGGCGCCGCGAACCCGTAGGAGAAGCCGACCTTGGCCGCCGCCGGCGCCGGCCGCGGCTTCGGCGCCGGCGTGGGCGCCGGCGCCGGCGGCGGCGCGCCGGGCGACGCGCGGAGCCGCGCCTCGAGCGCCGCGAGGCGGTCGTCGGTCGACGCGGACCACGCCTCGACGGCCGACGGCGGCGGCGGC